CCACATGAGTTCAAGTTCTTAACTTGGAAGGGATATCATCCGTAATACCTTAAATCAAACAAGCAAAAGACAATGCATGCAAAATAAATGAGCTGTAACCATGAATATTTTGAAGAAGAAAACACTCTAAATATTTGTGTGAGATCATAGAGCTCATACAGATAACTCACAATAATATGCGCAAATTATCACTGTCCAAATTTGTTTAAATATTTCCTTGTTGAGGTACCGACATCAATTTCATTGGCTGCTGTCCCTCTCATTCTCAGTGGCCAGCCACACAAATCACTTGATTTCAGCTAACAAGTCGAGTAGTCTAGAAGTCTGACATAACTAAATTCAAGAGATGTCTACGTATAACTAAATATCACCAATATATCACTGATAAGAGGTGAATGTAGTCACAACATAAAAAGTCATAGCTGGCACCTACTCCGGTTCCCAGGCCATGGCTGCAGAGGCATGCAAGTCACACCAACGACCTCCATGGAACACCATCCTCCGCGTCTCCTTCATGCTCCCCAAAATCAAGCAGCCAATAAAAGAGGGAAGAAATCCATATCAGACCTCTGCAGCACAAAGGAAGAGTTCCAGTGCCTAGATCTAGAGGAGGATGTGCCGCACCTGCTTGAGGAGGTAGGGAGCTGGCGCCCGTCGAGCAGGAGCGGGCCTGCGATGCCCACGGGAAGCTGTAGTACCCCACCGGCAGCTCGCAGCACGTACCCCACCGGAGCCCGGCTGGAGGCTGCTCCGGCTCCGCCGGCCGCCTGTCGGTGGATGAGGAGCCGAAGCCGAGGCAGTGGGAGGTAGACGGGGAAGTCGTGGGTGTAGCAGTGGCCGTAGCCATGGGCGTCGGGGACGGCGTCATCGCAGGCAGAGGCCGTGGGCGTCGGGGTGGTGCGGGTGGCGGCGGGGACCTTCCGGATGGGCACCGACAGCGGTGGATCTAGGGCGGGTCGGGGGTGAGGGAGGAGGGCCGCTGGGGCCCGGGCTCGTGCCGGCGAGGGCGCCGTCGCCCTGTGCCCGCTGCCGCCGCCTCGGGAGAGATGGAGGGGTGCGTGACGCGGTGGGGAAGAGAGGGGAGGGGAGCGGGGCAGGAGGAGTCGGAGTCGTGTCGGTGAGAGGAAAAGTGGGGGCGTCGGGGCCTCGGGGAGGGAGAGCCGTGCGTGGGGTGGGCACGGGATGGGAGGATGAGTGATGAGGTTTGGTCCAGCCAATCTGGTTCATTAGATCTGAGTGAACGAGACAAAACAGATGTGAGAGTGGATATCGTCCATTCGTTTTAAAGGTTGGCTGGCTTTAGGTGTATTTTTTTGGTACATGTAGAATAGTTTATGATGGTTGTGGACAGTTCTCGGTCATGCTCCTTCGATGCTTGCCTTCAGTTCCCTATAAATAGCCTAGGAGCGTAGGAGGTTGTAGCCATCGACCAAGCTGAATCTCGTCGTAGAATATTCTCCATACAGTACTGCTGGCCAGAGCCATTAGAGTTAACAATATATATAGTACATGAGAACGGTTATGGCGGCCATGTTCTTGGTTCTCGTGGTCACTTGGGCCTTGACCACGCGTGCCGCGGCGCGGGCGTTGCCGGCGGGAGCACAGCAGACCGCCTCTGCCGGCGGCATCTTCGACAGGTGTGTTCGTGGTTTATAAGTCGGTTGATGCTGTTTTATTGTGAGAGGAAAAACAATATATCATATCTGATAAGCATGGCTGATACGATCCGACGAACAGTGTGTTCACCAACAACGATGCGATACCGACCACGAGGTCGTCGTCGCATTGGCGAGGCCTGCAGAGGCCGCTGCTATCCTTGGAGGAGGAAAAAACAAGAGCAGGCCCTTCGTGTCGAAGCAGTAATCCTCATAACGGTTGCCCGTAGATATCAGATATGGCCGGATACGGACCGTACCGTCCGGACGTCCATGCATGCATTGGAGCTACTCGTATATGTACATAGATGCCACTGCGTGTGCGTAATAATTAATTTTGCTATTGCAAATGCATGCATGTAGGCTACCAGCAGCATGCATGCATGGACGTACGCGCGCACTCCGCCGTCACTTTGGAACTGCATGCAAGGTGGAGTATATATTTTTATCAAAAAAAAGATGGAGTGTGTGTGTCTATATATATATATATATATATATATATATATATATATATATATATATATATATATATATATATATATATGCGTATGTATGCTGTATGTATGAGGCATCGTGGCACGTACAGTACGATGATCGAGGTATACTATTTTTTTTCTATTGATCAGTACCTGCCTTGCCTAGCTAGCTAGCTTTGTCCTCTCTCTGTCACAAAATAAATAGATTTCTAAAGTTGTTTTAGGTCAAATTTTTTAACTTTGACTGAATTTCTTGAAAAAACGTTAAGACTTATGGTATCAAATTAGTATTATTAGATTTACTATATAATATATTTTCATAATAAGGTGCTCATTTTATGATATAGATGTTGTTACTCTTTTCTATAAAATTAGTCAAACTTAAAAAAGTTTGATTAGCATAGATTTTAGGAATTGATTTATTTGGGAATGGAGAGAGTGTTCTTCAGCGCTTAGCTGGCCGAGGGCCGACGATGACATTATGTCTAGATTCATCGTGCAGGACACCGTTGTTGTGGGTGTCCTGGGTCGCCTACCATCCACTTGCCACTAAACAAAAATGGTGGCAATTCTTCCTTATTATTATAAGATGGATGCAATCATGCTCAAATGCAGCCGGCTATGTAACCTCGAAGTGGCTTCATGTAATAAATTATCTGTTATGTTTGGATCTCACTTTTCATCGATGCTTAAAGAAGGGTCTTCTTCATCGATGCTTGAACACAATGAAGCCCCAATTTTAATTTCGGTGATTGATGAGCATAAGGATATATGTCTAACTTTATTCTGTAGGGATATATCGGAAAAGAGTTATTAGTTACATTGAGACAGCATGGTTATCTTGGCCCTTGGATTTTCAGATTTGGAGTATGTAGCAAAAATATTTGTGAAGGATAGACATAATAGTTGTCTAACTGTTAAAGTTGACCTTGGTCGCACTAAGACTTAGTATTACCTATTCTTTTATCATTGACTATACTATTGAGGGGGTCGAGACAAAAGGAGTTACGCAAAACAAGGCGCACATAGCTAGATTCTTCAAACAAGGCACACATACTAAATTCAATGAAGAGATCATATTAAACAAGGCACACATGTTAAAGTTGAACCATTTATATTGCATCAAAATTCAATGAAGAGATCATATTAAACAAGGCACACATAGCTAGGTTTCTTCAAACGACAAGTATAAAACAATCAATCCATGTTGATAAATTATCAAGTTTAAAAATGGTACCAACAGTTAGAAATATCATAAGTAAATTGGCACACAAACCAACTTTGCCTAAAAACAGTAATAATCTACTCTAATCTATGAATCTATAAAAAAAATATTGAATCTTCACGCTACTGATTTAGCCTATCTTGTACGACGCATCTTTGCAAGTTTCATCCTTGTTTGAACAAAACCTGCAGAAGTATAAAGAAGACTTGCATCAGCAAGGTTTCATCCTTGTTGAACAAAACCTGCAGAAGTATAAAAGAACAGTTTCTCCGAAAAGAGTCTTATTGAGAGTGATCTTAAGTTATCAAGATTTTACTTGACACCTAACTAAGGAATGTGAATTCTCTCTATGTCTGTCGTACAATTATCCTATCGGTAGTCGCTATACCGACAGTGTAATACTTATTTCCTATCGGTGAAGAGGCAATATCGACAGGGAAATCTTAAATCTTGGTTTCCAGTAGCGTGCACACATATCACACTACTACGGAATCCATTATCGGAGTCAGCCAAAAGTAATTTACAGATCTAAACATCATTGTTAATCCAGATTTCCAGAGGTGGTTAATATGCCCACCTCTGGAAATAAATTTAAAATGTAAAAAAAACTCAAACCCACCGGCGAGCCCATCACCAAGCCCGCTTCGAAGCCCACCCCCGGCTAGATTCGAGCGCCGCCATGTTTGACGTGCTGTCGAGCCTGCCGTGAATGCCATGGGCCCACCATGGCCGCCATGGAGCCGCCATTATATTTGTCTCTAGCCTTAATCCGCCGCCGGAGTGGCTCCAGCCTCGACCCATTGCTGGGGCGGCCTCGATCCGCTGTCGTCGCAAAGTAGCTAGCGACCTCCATTGTCGGGGCTGTCTCCAGCCTGAATCCGCCAGGGCGTGCGGGGCCTCCAGTGCGGTCGAGCTGCCGGCACCAAGAAAGAGGGCCTCGAGCTACTGGCACTAAGAGAGAGGATTGGGTGAGGGAGCGAGGAGGGTGGGTGTGGAGGAGAGAGCGGCAACGCGGGTAGATGAGGGATACAAAGAGAGAGGAGTGTGGGATGAGGTTTTCACTTCCGTTATATACTCCAGACCTGTAGTGGTGTACTTATTACAATTTCCACTCTTGTTGTTGGAATCCTCAGATTCCGACAATATATTTTGTTTAGGTTAGAGTCAGATCTGTTAGATTGGCAGGATTGTAAGCTCTGGAACTAGGACACGAACATGAATGAACATTGGAATAATATTTCAGTGTTTCAAAAGTTTAAAAGCATGTAATTTAGGAAAACAAAATGATTTTCATTAGAGAGGGTATTTTTCCTAGCTAGCTATTTGAAAAATCTTTAGATACTACAAGACACTACTCTAAGGAGTAGTACAGGTACTAATTTAATTACTGTACTAAGGTTGCTTGAAGCAGAATGGTGGATCAATTTTGTTATTCTCCGTCCATGTGCAAGACAGACTGTATGTAACTTTAATATTTTACATGCTCAGTCGATGCTTGCCTTCAGTCTCCTATAAATAGCTAGGAGCTTAAGAGGTTGTAGCCATCGACCAAGCTAGAGGCAAGGTAACTTCAAGTAAACTCATCTGATTAGTTCTTTATCGATTCTTCAGCTAGTTAGTTTCATCACCTTCTCCGAGCTAGCAATGGCCATCCAAAAGCCATACAATAGCAATATGAGCACAGTGGCTCTAATGGTAGTAGTCCTAGTTCTAGCCTGTCAAATCATGTCAGCTCATTGCACTCCTACTATGATACTAGCAAGCACTCCTAGAAGATACCTGCTAGCAGTGCACTTGTCAGCTGCCACTGCTTCGGCCACAAAAACAGGGATGATGGAGGGCACAATCACTCCAACAGAAGGTGGTGTCCCTGCAGGAGCGACAGAGGACGTCCGCCCTACTAACCCAAGCCACAGCCCTGGGATCGGACATGCATTCACCCACAACAGGATTGGGAGGAAGCTTCTTACTATGATCACCAGTCAATGTGATTAATTGATGAAGATTCAACAGGCAGCAGGCAGTAGCAAGTAGCTTAGTTTGTTCGTTCGTTCCCCTTTCGTCTTGTTGTACCTTGCTTCTTCTTAGTTGGTTACCCTTTGTAATAGTATGACTATATGAATTTGTCATTTTACTGATGTCCTTCGCTTTTCAAATTCTCCGCATACACCTAGATGGGACATGCATTTACTTGCCATTGCATGGTTATTGAGTTGTTGCTCAAAGGAGCTCGTCGTACATGTGTGAACTATGATTAGGGGTTTTATTCAAATTGAAACATGCATAGTGTGCTGATGACGATCCATTTACTTCCTTCGTTCTCCAAAATGAAAAACCATTTACTAGCTCCTTTGAAACTAGTACAAGTTTCTTGAGTGACTGTATGTCGCATACATGCATGGCCATGATGTATAGCAAAAGGCTAATTACACACATTTGTAAGTGTTCGGGCATTTTGTGTAAATGCACGCATGTTAGGTTTTCTCCTAGCTAGCTACCCCCCTGCCTGGAAGAATATGCAGCTGCAGGCGTAACGGCATCATATATTAAGTCCCAAATGGAACCGTATGTGTATGCCAAGTTGCCAACGTCCATATATAACCGAGTTTCAAAAAAAAAACGTCCATATATAACCACCCTCGGCGCCCGCCACTACAGGAAACCGGGACTTTGCCCAGTGCTCAAATCTTTGCCGAGTGCCAAATATCGGGCACTCGGCAAAGGTCACCTTTGCCGAGTGCTGCACTCGGCGAAACTTGGCACTCGGCAAATAGAGTTTTGCCGAGTGTCTGGCACTCGGCAAAATAAGACACTCGGCAAAGCCAAACTTTGCCCAGTGCCAGACACTCGGCAAAGTTGGGCACTCGGCAAAGAGGCGCCCGGGGATAACGGTACCCAACACCGTCCTCTTTGCCGAGTTCCTTCTATTTGGCACTCGGCAAAATATTGGCTTTACCGAGTGCCTAGGGTTAGCACTCGACAAAATATTTACTTTGCCGAGTGCCAAACCTTGGCACTCGGCAAAATAATTTTTTTTTTGTTTTTTGCCACCAACTTTTTTTCTTAGATTTGTATTTGTACCATGAACAACATGTTCAAATTTGGCACAATTTCATTGCTGTTTGCTATATTTCTTCACTTTATTTTGTTTTCTTGCAATTTTTTGGAAAATGTAGGTTTGAACTGCAGGTGCATCGAATAATAGTTTTGATCCATTCCAAAAATGTTATTCTTGTTTGTTAGTGTCACTTTATGCTAAATCTAGGAACTGTCTCCAAATTTCGATCAACGTGCTCACGGGGCAACGTCGCGAACTTGCGTGCGAGTGGTTATTTAATTCTATAAAATTCAAACGAATCCCGAAAATCATGAAACTTGGCGAGATGTCGTGATATCACATGCATATGCGGTGATAAAAATTTGAAAACGTTTGGAGGATGTCATCACGTATGATGTTCACAAACCAGGACGTCATCACGTATCCGTGCAACAGATGTGGCAACAAGAAAAGAAAAATTAAGAGGCTCGTGGGGAAAGATTTTATCAAGTATGGATTCACGGCAAACTATACCCGCTGGATCCACCATGGTGAAGCCGATCGTATTAGAGAGGAGGTGGTGAGACAGCGTCTCGAGGATTATGATGGAGATGGCGGGGTAGCAGACTGGATGGATGACATTCAGCAGGCACGGTTCGGTGAAGGATTGAAGGAGAAGCCAGAGGAAAGCGCAAAGGCGTTCTATGATATGCTGTCTTCAGCGCAGAAGCCCTTGCACGAAAAGACAACGGTATCGCAGCTGGATGCAATTGGACGCATCATGGGGTTGAAGTCGCAGTTTAGCATGAGTTGGGACAACTTCGATGGTATGTTGACAGTTTTTGGATCCCTGCTTCCGGAGGATCACATCCTGCCGAAGAACTTATACGAGTCACAGAAACTTCTTCGTGCACTTAAGATGCCGTATGAGCAGATCCATGCTTGTCCGAATGGATGCGTCCTTTTTAGGAAAGATCACGAGGGAGCAACGCACTGTCCAAAGTGCAAATCCTCTAGGTACCGGAGGTCGACACTAGTGATGGCAAGAAGGAGCAATTTGAGTATCCCTATGAAGGTCCTCGATACCTTCCTTTCATACCGAGGATCCAACAATTTGTGTACATGATGAGGAGTCCGCGAAAAAGCAGATGACATGGCACAAAAATGGCAAAAGGTACAATCCGGACAAGATGGTACACCCATCGGATGGCGACGCCTGGACCCATTTCGATGGCATACATCATGTTAAAGCTGAGGAGGCTCGCAATGTACGTGTAGCGTTGGCAACAGATGGGTTCAACCAGTATGGATTGTCCACGGCCCCATACACTTGTTGGCCCGTGTTCGTGATACCCTGAATCTCCCCGGTGTCATCTTTCAACCCAAGAACGTATTTTTGTCGCTGATAATTCACGGACATCCGGGAACAATATGGGTGTGTTCATGGAGCCCGTGTTCGATGATTTGATCGATGCTTGGAAAAAAGGGGGGTACCGACATACGACCGAGCTACAAAGAGAAACTTCACAATGCATGTGTGGTACCACTACTCCCTGCATGACTTCTGGCGTATGGCCTATTCGTGGGTGGTGTGTTCACGGGAAGTTCCCATGCCCAATATGCAAAGGCGGTGTGAGGTTCACTTGGTCAAGAGTGGTGGCAAGTTTTCTTCGTTCGACCAACATCGTCGGTTCCTCCCCTTGACCATCCATTCAGACGAGACATCAAGAACTTCATGAAAGGTGTTGAAGTCACCGATCCCGCACCTCGAGATGATGATGACATTTGCCGAGATCCGCTACCGAGATAGAGGCTCTCAAAGTTGATAAAGAGAAAGGTCGTTTTGATGGATATGGTCGATTACCACATGTGGACTCATAAATCGGGCTTGACTAGGCTTCCCTATTTCAACGATCTTCTTCTTCCACACAACATTGATTTAATGCACACAGAGAAGAATATCGCCGAGGCGCTTTGGGGAACACTCATGGACACGAGAAAAGTCAAAGGACAATGTTAAGGCAAGAGTGGACTGGCAAAGACTAAATGCGATAGACCAAAGCAAGTGATGAAGACTCCCGCTACCTGGCAAGAAATGGAAAAGGACTTGGTCGATTTCGTTTTGAAGAAGGACCAAAGGAGGGAAGTATGTCGATTGGGTTCGATCGTTAATGTTCCACGATGGGTATGCGACGAATTAAACGAGGAGGGGAGTGAACGTGTCCACTTGCCGAGTGTTAGGGATGAAGAGTCATGACTTCCACATATGGATTGAGCGGCTCCTTCCAAATGATGACGAGAGGTTTCGCCCCCGAGCATGTGTGGCGCGCCCTGGCAGAGTTGAGCTATTTCTTCTGCCAGCTTTGTGCCAAGGAGCTATCTCGGGCCGTGATTGATGACTTAGAGAAAGTGGCACCTGTGTTGCTCTGTAAGATGGAGAAGATCTTCCCACTCGGCTTCTTCCTCTCAATGCAGCGAAGCCGTCCGACCCGCCGCCCCCGTGGCCGTCCGAGGAGGGCGGTGCAGTCGTCTGCCGTCCCCCCGCCCGAGGAGGACCGGACGACGACCACTGATGACGAGGACCAGCAGCTGGCCCCCTAGACAGGAGGGGGTGACACTTCCTTTGGGGGGTGGCGGGGGTGACACTGCCTCTGGGGGGTGGCGGGGGGGTCCACTTCGAGCACCTCATCGGTACCGTACTTGCACGGGTCCTCGCAGCTCCCGACGCGGCCGATCCCGTTTTAGAGGAGGCCGGTGATTCGTCCCAAGGGCGACAAGTAAGTATCCGTTCATTTTGCATCTCTTCTTGTTCATATGCTAAAAACCGAACTGCGGACTAACAATTCTTCATCGACTCTCAGAGGAGGCGGGAACTTGTAATAAAGGCGATCATCGGCAGTGCAATGGGATCCTCGGCGGCCGATCCGCTTTGCACTACTACTAGTTTGGTCACCACGCCCGAGTTGAGTCGCCTCCACGGGACGTGGGACCACTTCAACTCCGCCGTGGACGCCGTGGTATGCGGCACCGTCATGAGGAGCGGATCAGGCGTGAGTTCTGGGTGAGTCTACATCACACTACATTGCTCAATACTATGAATTCATTAGACGTTCTTGAAATAATGAAAGGACACATGATGTCTGTATGCAGGACTTCTTCACGTTGGAGGAGGGGCATGACCCCGCCTGGGTGACGAAGGTGCGGGATAGGGCATGCAGGGGCCGAGTCACGGACCTGTACTATGAGGCGAGGCTGCAGTGCCACATCAACCACTCGTGCGACGTCCTTGGTCGGTACCCGGGGAAGAGCGAGGCCAAGACCATGACACTCACCAGGGAGCAGTACCTCACAGTAAGTTATAAAACATTGTTACTGACTCATTCCATGAAGAATAGGTAGCCTTCATTTTATATTCTAACATTTCTAATACTTGATGGCATGCAGATGTGTCCTTCTTGGTGCGCCACCCACAGAGATCACATGCCATCGTGGACAAGTGGGTCTCCGATGAGTGGAGGGAGAGGCACGCCCTCCGTCGGGAGTGCCGCCTGCAGATGGGTGGGCCGGCGCACCACCAAGGTAACCGGCCCCTCAGTTCGTACGCCCAGGCCTGGGTACACGCTACGCACTTATTTATTTATTTGTTCTAACGCTCAATTCTCATTACTTCTAATCGTCTTTGTATTTTCCTCGTAGTCCCAGTCGCATGATGGCCAGGAATGCAACGAGTTCATGGCATACGCCATGGCACACAAGGGCAAGGCGACAGCCCCGGACACCGTCTACAACCCGGAGGACGGGCCCGAGGCGTACAGCAACACGAGCATCCACAGCAAGCTCACCGACTACGCCTCGGCGGCCCGCAAGTGGCATGGGGAGGACTTCGACCCCACCACCCAACCCCTTGATACCGACCTCGTGATGAGGCTCGGAGGAGGGAAGCAGCACGGCCGGTACT